GAAAGAGAAGGGAAAGTAAGTTGAAGGGCTGTCTCTATGAGGTTGAATAATAGATACGGCAATAATAGAATGAGTGTCAACAGAGTAAGAGATGTCAGAGTGTAGGATGTTTGAATTTGTGACTTCAGAGGAAGACTCAGTCCGGGGAAATTTCAGGATCTTAGCTGGAAGGAAGAGGGTATTAAAGAAAATTTAAGATCACGCTACCTTGAGAAAGGATTCTTGTGGCTACGTGTAGAGTACACGGGAGTCAGGAGACGCTGAACTAAAGTTCTTAAGAGGCTTATCTGCATAAATCATGAATCAAGTATTTGAATTGTACACCTGAATAAGAGAAAAAAATAGGCTAATTTTTTTTTTTTGCATTGAAAGAAAGGTAGGTAACTTTTCTTTCTCGAGAGAAAAAACTAAATTCTGTGTCCAAAACCAAATAGGACTGAGGCACTATCTAGTGACTCTAGAAATCTCTAGTACATTTTTATTTATTTATTTATTATTATTTTTTTTTGCGGTACGCGGGCCTGTCACTGATGCGGCCTCTCCCGTTGCGGAGCACAGGCTCCGGACGCGCAGGCTCAACGGCCATGGCTCACGGGCCCAGCCGCTCCGCGGCATGTGGGATCTTCCCGGACCGGGGCACGAACCCGCGTCCCCTAGCATCGGCAGGCGGACTCTCAACCACTGCGCCACCAGGGAAGCCCTCTAGTACATCTTTAAATTATGTCCTCTTTGTATTCAATAATAATAATAATAATAATGTCCTCTTTGTAGTTAAGAATAATAATATATTCTTCATTTTGACTTGAGCTGAATTTTTGCGTTTGACTTTTAAACAAACCAGTTTCATAATATAATGAAAATAATGTTGGAATAAAAAGTATGGTTAAATGTAGTTTTCCTTCTCTTCTGTATTGCTTCTAGCATGAATGCCTAATTTTTAACATGGGTAGTGATGAAAGTACTTTTCATATTTTCTGGCATTTTGTTGAATTTCCTTCTAGTCTTTTTTTGACTGGGCATATACTTGCATATTTGTGGTTAATAGGATTTGTAAATATCACATTTATACTTGCTTTTTCATTTAACATGAACAATTTGTCCTCATACTCATCCTTTACGATGGCTGCATAATATTCTATTTTCTTTTTAACATTTAAAAAAATTTTTATTGGGGTATAGTTGATTTACAATGTTGTGTTAATTTCAGGTGTACAGCAAAGTGAATCTGTTATACATATACATATATCCACTCTTTTTTAGATTTTAGCTTTATTTTTAAAATGTATCATATTTGTCATTTAAATTTTCTCTGTGTTTATTTATACTTTGATCTCAAATACAGATGTGTATGGACATATAATAAAAACACAAATACTTGTGGAAGGAGAGTTACTGATCTGAATATTTATATAGAACAGACTGAGAGTCATATTTCATGTTGTTTTATTCTCATGGTGACTGACATTTTTAGCAAGATAGTTGCCTATGATTTAAAAAAAAACTAAAGATTTTTTCATGAAGATTCAGATATATCTCTTTTCTTGAAAAATCAGATATCTGTCAGTGCTAGAACCTGTAGTAATGTATAGGACTGTCGGATGGATTTGAGTGTTGGGTACCTTTTAGACCCTTTTAGACAGGGTATGTGCTCACTTCTTCATTACCCCGCCTTCCACTGGATGCTTCCAACGTTTGTATTACTTGCCAGTCCTCTGTGGGCATTTCATTTTGACACTTGATCTAGGACAAAATAAAGGATAAAGAAATAGTAGTCTTCATGAATGCTGGAGCTGTCCCTTCTCAACCACATGTGACTATCCTGTTGTCTGTTTTTAAATTTGTTTGGGATAACTTTTTCTTCTACTGTCTAGCATAGGAAAAACAATTCCAATCTTAACATTTGTTCAAGTCGAACAGAATTAGAAATTTAAATCCGCTACTGGATCACATAGAACATTTCAAAAACAAAGCCCCAGAGATCTAACTTTTTCATTTTCTTTATAGGTGAAAATAAATAATGATTTTAATTATGAATTTTACAATAGTACCTGGTCTTATGTAAAACATACATCAACAGAACATTCATCATCTAGTCAAGGACGCGTCCTCTTTTTTAGTTCTTCATCTTCTTCGTACAGTTTCTCTTCAAATACTGAAAAAATCGATAAGGAAAAGGTTAGTATGAAATATATTAGTTAACTTTTCCATATTTTACTGGTTTAGGTATTTCTAACATTAACAGAAGTGCATTTACTAAAAGAATCAGCTTTCATTTTTTAATTAGGGCACAGTATCTTCTTCAAAGAGATAATCCAATATATTCTTTAAAAGGTATGGTTTTTGTCTTGTTAATTCTCTTTGATAATACATTTATTTACACTTTTTATTTTCTCATTGAAGTATTTGTTCTTATTTAAGAATTTAAAAAAAACTTATTACTTTCAAATCTTCTAGTTAAAACTAGCCTAAATTTCTAATTCATGATTACTGATGCTACTATTTTAAGTATTATATATAATTTCAAAAATCCAATGAAATGTGCTTCCAAAACACTAATACTAGAGTTTTTTAAAGAAGGTGCATGAAAATAAAAGATGTTAAAATACTTTATTACTTTGGAGATACCAACATTTTCATCCGAGGAGGTTAAAAGACTTAATTTTAGATACTCTGTTGTATTGAGATACTAAAACTTTCATCATGGGCAACCTGAACAGTTGAAATGAATTGTTCTATTTGATTCACATTTACTGCTGAAGAACTTTTCAGGCTGATCATCATTCATAATATACATAATTCATCTCATTCTTAAAGTCAGTAACTTGATTAATAGATCACATTAATAGATCACATAAGCAAGGTATAAAGGAATATAATTTTGTTTTATGACTAAGAAGTTGATTGTGGAAATATGAGCTGTAAAAACATTTATTATACCCATATTATATTGTTCACATAAGTGAGGATTTGGTGTAAGGCAGCTCTGTCTTGGACATCATGAAAAGATGCTTAGGAAGGGTTTAAAAGACCTCATTATAAAGTAGCTTACCCTGTAAATACTCCAGTATGGGAGATAAATTATATGGTCACCTTACCTGTAAGTCATTGTTATGATGTGGACTCTAGGGATATTATATCCCTGTTTGTGAGATTATTTAGCAGTTAACAATGTTGAATCTTTTTTTCTAGTTGAGGAGGGCATAAAAACTTGGTCTTGGGGGTTTTAAAAGGCGTGTATAAAACCAGTTGTCATCACTCAGATGTTATTTCTGTTTGGGATTCTGAAAATTCCTTAGATTGCTTCAAGTGGGTGGGCCCAGAAGAGACCTCATTATGCATCAAAAATAGAAATTCATTTAGTCTGCATTGATGGAGGTGGCTATTGATGGAGACATTGGACAAGAAACTATTTCCATTGCCTTTTAGTCTTCATCCTAAAACTCCTTTTACTCTTTCTTCTTCCTATAGAGTTATCAGTTGTTGGTTCTTCAGAACACTGTTGAAGTGGCTCAGTTTATCAATAACAATCCAGACTTTTTACAACTTGCTGAGTCATTCTGGAAGGAACTCTCCTACCTTCCCTCTCTGTATGACTACAGCGCCTATCGAAGACTGATCGACCAGTATGGGACACATTATCTTCAGTCTGGGTCCTTAGGAGGAGAATACAAAGTTATCTTTTATTTGGACTCAGAAAAAATCAAACAAAGCGGTAGAGTATTAAAAATATTGTTATATACAAGCATCGCGGGGATTTTAATTAGTAGTTAAACTTTAGAGCTTTAAAATATGACAAATAGAGATTAAATTGCAAAAGAATCCAAAATTGCAAGACTCTATTATACTCTACTCAAAATCTTCCAGGGTTTAAGAAAAAGCCTGCCTACTCTTTTGGATAGTACTCTGAAGTGAGAGTTAAGCCATTATCATTATTGCTATCTCTAGAGGGTGTTGACTGGAGTTTTAGAATACTTTTTAATCTTCTCCGTTTCTCAGATTAAGTAATATTCCTTGAGGAAAACTAATGAGGAGTTTACTGATATTGCAGAAATCAAAACGTTTCAATGAAGTCTTTTCTTATTTATCTGTGTTCTTAACCACTCACATTCCTTTAAAAAAAATCTGCTCTGGATATCATGAGTTTGCTTACTACCTAAAACTTGTAACAATAGCTTAAATTTATTGGATGCCTTCTTCTAGACAGGCAGGTTGCCTATGTTAGCAATAATCCTCGCTGCTACCGAGTGAAATCCAGGGGCATACTGATTGTAAGCAGGTCTAACTGGCTCCAGCATCAACTTAGCTTTTTCCTTACGCCATGTTGCTGCTGGAATTGCCTGCTTTTTGTTAGACTCAGGGCACGCTACTGAGTTCATACTTGGTTGACTTCACAGTGAGAGGATGTTCCTCACCAGCTGCTGCCATGTTGGAGAGTGTGTGTCCTAGTATCCATTCCTCCTTTTGGCTTATTTACATTCCAAGTCCAACCTGCTCCTTTCCAACTCTGTCCTGAAGCTCGTGGCCACACTTGCTTCTCTATCCCAAATCGCCTTGTTAGCATCTTACTCTTCAGTCAAGAGTTTCTTACCACCTTGGAGGGGAGTGAGACTGCTTACCTGAGATCCAGAGGAGGTCTTGTAGCCTTCTCTTGTGAGTGAACTACAATATTTTTCTGTGTTTCCACTGACTATTCTTTTTTTCTACTGGGCTTAATTTTTACCAATTAAGATTAATTAGAATGTGAGCTTTTCCAACCTCAGCAGGTTGGAAATGAATGCACAAGCACAGGTTTTTGTAGCAACAACAGAGGTAATATTTCTTTGGGGAATTAATCCAGAAAGGGGCTTGATCTAAACTCAGTTTCATGACCATTTTTTTTTCTTTAACGCTTAAAAAGAAACGAAGAGGATTTTTTTTTTGTTAAAGCTTTCTGAGTTGGTAAAAAAAATTTTGAGTAAAAATTTTACTCTTGAGCAGTTTTTGTTCTTAAAAGTTTTAAGTGAAATTAATCAAGGATTCTGGGATATGTTATATGCCCCCAATTGTTCTTTAAGAAATACTGAGTTTGTTATAATATAGTTAGTAAAATTATATAAAAATATATTTCTACCCTTTATTATTTTCTATCCTCTTTTAAAAAAAGGCATTGGCAAAACTCCATTTGATAATGAGTAGAAATTGTAACCATCTAAGATTATATGTCATAGGAAGAAAATGTAGAAACCAGAGATGTTAAAGATGGAGAGACTGAGGCACTAGAACTAGGATTTTAGGAATTAATTGCTGTAGAACCAGAACCCAGCTTTTGGGGTCTCCAGTGGGTGGGCTGGAGGCCATTGCACATCTACTTTAACCTATTTGCCTTATGCCTGAGAAGCTGACTGCAGTTGGGTAAAAGGTATCACTCTGTGAAGTGCTCAGTTTTTGCTCCCTCCACTGTTTCACCCACCCCCACCCTCTGGTCAAAGTTAATAGAAGCCAAGAGCAGCTGATCCATTTGAATGTAAGTTTCAGACATGTGATGCTTTACCCCTAAATATAATGCATGTATCTTATTTTGTTTATAACAAACATCAAATATCACGTTTTCTGCCCCTTGACCCTTCTAGAGCACTTGAAAATGTACATATAGTATATTTTTGATTATATGGCCCCAGTGGTAGGAAACAACCTCTTATGCCACTCTCACACCTGGCCAGCATCTCAAAGGAGATTTTCAACAAATGTGGAAACTAAGCACCTTTAAAATTGTTCCCCCCAGGTTTTAGTTCAGAGAAGAAGAAGAAATGTGCTTCCTCACATTTCAAGTTTTTGTTTAAATCATCAGAGCACGCATGCAAGGAGATGGAAGAGACCTTAAAATTTGCTTCAGGTAAATGAGAAGGGGGTAATTTTCATTACAAACTTACCTCCATCCCTCTTTCTTGTGGTTAATTCCTGGTCTCCAAGGGCCTTCGAAATTCTAGCGGGTGTTCTATTTTGTGTTTTTGAAACACTTGGTTATTTTTACCTCTGATCTCTCTGTTATGTCATGGCAGTGATCCATCATGCAGAGTGGAAATTTCACTGGGTATCTCTGTGTACTGTAACTATGTCCTCAGTGAACACCATCTTTGTTTCCTGTGAGGAAGGTTGACAGACAAGTCTAGAAAAATGACAGCAAGAGGAGAAGCTCCAGTTTCACCCTGTGACATGGATGCTCAGTGCAGTTAAAAGTTTTTGGTGCATGGTGGTGGTGGTGACGGTGGTGGCAGAGTGTGGGAGGTGGTGTGTTAGTCTTTGAGTGATTGAAGAAGGAACTGGAAGGGTAAGCTGATTTAGACTGTGTCCAGATGCCGTGTTAGGAAGTTTGGGTTTCATCCTGATGGCGAGGGATGCCGTTAATACGGGGAGTGATTAAATGAAAGATGACAAATATAAAGTTGTAGCGAAAGAAGAGGGACTGAAAAGGAATAATCTGACAGGATAAGAACCAGAAAAGATGAGTAACATGGAAGGTAGAGGAGAAGAAATCGACAGCGAGAAATGCTACAGCGAAGTGATGTAAGAGGAGGTCTGAAGACTTCATTGGATTTGGTGATTAAGACTTAATTGCCTTAAAATGAAGAGATTCTTAGTGTAGTAGGGACGGAAATGAGACTGTGGTGCATTGTGTGAAGCCATGGAGCAGCATTAGAGCTCAAGTTGTCTTCGGGTGATGGCAGAAATTGGGATGAAGGATAAGACTGACCCAGTTGCTAAAGTCCTCATCGAGGAAGTGAGGATCCTTTAGTAGATGACTGCAAGGAGGAGGAAGACAGAGTGTTTAGCCAGGCTCAATTCCTCATTCACTTACTTTATTCATCAACTATTTACGGAACCTATAGTGCATGCAGAAATTGTTCTAGGCACTGGTGATACAGCAGTGAACATGCCAGAAAAAGTGCCTGTCTTCTTGGACCTGACATGACGAAGGAGGAGGACAAGTTTTGAACAACGTGGAAATACACTGATCTGGAAATAGAAATGAAAGTGGGAGCTTTGAGAAGTTGTTGACATCAATTATCAGTTGGGCTGGTGATTGGAAGCTGCTTACTGATTTTATTTTATTTTATTTTATTTTTGCTTTGTTTTATCTTATTTTATTTTATGTTTAACAAACATGTAGCACTTATGATGTGCCCAGCACAATTTTAAGTGATTTACAAAAATGAACCAATGTACTCCTACCTAAGAACTGGGTATTATTCATATTTCCATTTTACTGACAGGGACACTGAAGCACAGAAAGGTTGCCCAAGACCACAGTTGGGGTCAGGCACAAGATTCCAATGTCTGGCTTCACAATCTGGGCCCTTCACTGTTGCCCCAGGCTGATTGTCTGGGGCAAGAGGGCCAGCTGGAGCACAGAGCTCACTGAGGTGTAGAGAGAGAGGCTACAGGCTTAAAAATAAATATAAAAGCTGATTTCTTAGACTCTGTAGTTTGTAAACAAGCATGTCAGTTTGGGTGGTGATTCTCAAGTTTTGGTATGCAAGAGGATTACCTGGGGCAGCCTGTTCAAATGCTGAGTACTTGACTTTTCTCTCAGCTACGTCCTTCTATATCTTGGCTGGAGCTCAGAAATCTGCAGTCATTCTAGGTGATGCTGATTCCAGTAGTTCAGGGACTGAACTTGGCAATACACTGCATTAAAAGTGTGACTATTTGCATTTTAAAACGTAGCTAACAAGGAAGATGAGGAAGCACTCAGGAATTTCTTTAAAAATATGAGACTTTAATAACTTCTGATGATAAAAGTGTAATTTTTGAATTTGCAAAATTTTATGAAAATGTTATGAAATTGCAAAATTTAATTAAAAAAAGGTAATGAAAATCAACGTAAGTCTGATTAGCAAGTTAGGAACTTACGGTCATGACCAGTGTGGAAATCAATTAGACATGAAGATGAAAATATTTCTGAAATTATAAGGCACAGAAATGAGAAAAAGGATTTGATTAGTATTCAAACTTTTTAGAACACTTTTTATGTGTTAATATATGCCTGTTAATAGCATTTTGGTTACTGTTAGTATTCCAGATGCAATGAACTTTTTCCTCCCAACATTTTCTTATGAAAATTTTCAAACATACAGAAAAGTTGAAAAAACATAGTAAAAAACGCCAGCGTACCCACCTCTTACATGCAATAATTATTATTTTGATGTTTTTATATATATATATATATATATAGTATTTATAATGTTGACTGTTTAGCAACGCATAAATATATATTTAAAATATTTGTGATATTTGCTGAACCATTTGGAAGTTTCAGATGTCATGATGTTTCATCCTTAAATACATGCATGTATCTTCTAAGAAACAAGATAGTCACCTGTATAACAAATTTTCTTCTTACACTAAGAACATTAAGAATATGAATAATAATTTCTTCATAATCATCTACTGTTAGGTAATGGTTGTGTCTCTTTTCTTTTCTCTCTTAATAGATATTATTTTTTTGAGTAGTTTTAGATTCACAAAACAATTGAGCAAAAAGTACAGAGAATCCCTATATCCTTGCTGTCCCCACGGGTACAGCCTCCTCCATTATCAGCATCCAGGCCTTAGTGGTCCATTTGTTACAACTGATGAACCTACATTGACACATAATAATCACCCAAAGTCCATAGTTTACATGAGGGTTCACTCTTGTACATTCTGTGGGTTCGGAGAAATGCATAATGACATGTATCCATTATAGTATACAGAGCAATTTCACTGCCCTAAAAGTCCTCTAAAGATCCTAAAAATATTAAAAATCCCTCCTACACCACTTACTGGCAACCACAGGTATTTTTACTCTCTCCATAGTTTTGCCTTTTCCAGAATGTCATACAGTTGAATGGGTTGTGTTACTTCATTGACTTTCAATTTCATATTCTCATTCTCATTTCATTTGTGCATCCAGACTTATTTCGTTTGATTTCTCCTTGAGTAGGAACTCAGGGCAACGTGTTACGAGGGGTCCCATTTGTCAGAGGGGGACGTCCTGGCCTTGTGTCTGGCCTTAGTTACCTGGAACTGGACAATCCTGCTGGAAATAAATGGAGATATTCTCGCTGGGCAGGATCTGTGACTGAACTTCCGCAAATCATAAAACAAAAGGTATGTGACACTCTGTTGAAAGCACCAGAAAGCAGTCATATTTATTTGCACTGGGAAAATGAGATTAAATTAAGGTGGTTAAACAGGGAAGGCTGTAATTAGCATTTTCTGTATCCCAGTTATGTTTTGTATAGTAAAATGAATGCATACATAATAGGAAACAAGTTTCATTATCTTGTATGTCCATATTTCAGTTGTAAAGGTTAAATGTCTTGTAAATCCCAAGAGAAATTAATGCTAAAATTTGTATTTCAAGCTTTTGACCTAAATTTGATTATGTTTTCCTTGGTCCCTGATTCAGAGGAGTTATAGATTCTTGCAAGAGGAAGGCATTTAGGGACTTGTCTAGTGTTACATTTGTCAGATCACCTTTCTTCCTGTGGCCATGGCTTGTAGGCTCCTGGTCATGCAAATTAGTTCTAAAAAGATAGAATCAATTTGGCTGGCAGAATTTTAGGATGTTTTATTGGCACAGTCAGTTCTTTTATAACACAACATATGTGTTCCTAAAAATCAGAGAGCTAGGCAAAATTGCACAATAAAGACCACAGGGCTTATGGGAAAAAATGTGTTAGGAACACAACACTCAAAAACTTTTGTGACACTCATTAAAAAAAAAAAGAGGCACCAATAAAAACAGTAGTAGTTTTATACATGTTAAATTGTTAAGGAATGCACAGACTACAATAAAGGTGGCACATTACCTAGAAGAGGATCTGAAGCTTGCTGGGTGATGGGAGCATTACAGATTGTGAATTCTTGTGAAGTGGTAGAAGAAACGCTATCAGAAATGACAGACAGTCGTAACACCATTTGTGGTTGGTGTGGTTTATTATACAGGTGGTGAACTAGATGGGTGTTTGAGATGTGTGCTTGTGTGTGAGTGTTTTGTCTATTCTTATGCAGCTTGGTTCAGTTGTGTGCAGTTTTCTGTGTTCACCCCGTGTTTCTTATGGACAAAATTGTACCTAAGAAAACACAAAATTTGTGATATACTCATTTTATTTTTTAATATTTCAATCTCAATGGAACAAATTCACATTTTCAAAATACATGTTATAGCAGAAGTGATTCTATAATCTATTCCCTGCCACAGGAGTCAGGCAGTGTCCCAGGTCCAACCTGACTTTTTTTTTTTTTGCGGTATGCGGGCCTCTCACTGTTGTGGCCTCTCCCGTTGCGGAGCACAGGCTCCGGACGCGCAGGCTCAGCGGCCACGGCTCACAGGCCCAGCCGCTCCGCGGCATGTGGGATCTTCCCAGATTGGGACACGAACCCGTGTCCCCTGCATCGGCAGGCGGACTCGCAACCACTGCGCCACCAGGGAAGCCCCAACCTGACTTTTGAGATTAAGAAACTTGGACACATTTATAAACTCAAAAGTTACGAGTGCTCCTCAGGTACCCTCCTGACACCATACTGAGCCCAGTTGCCTCCCAGTGGGAGGGGCAGTTTTTCCTGGGAAGTCTTACCTTAAAGTGTCATTCATTAATATTCAAAATGATCTATTTTCATTTTCAGTATCTCATACAAATCTTTAAAAATCCTAAATTGTTGTTTAGGGTAAAAAGCAGACATTCTTTTCCATTCTCAACTATGTGCTTTCCCACATAGGACTGTAACTGTCATAGCTATGTTAACTTTTATTAGTCGGACAGGAAAGGGACAGAGAAAGAAGAGAAATGTTACAGGTAGATAACCATGCAATGCTGTTCAGTTCAGAAGAGCTTGGGCAGAGATGGAGGGCAATGTGACCCTCTGAGCTAATCTCTGTACTCGCAGTGGTGCTCTAGCCAGCTCACTCAGACTCTCTCAAGAGCCAATGGTGCAAGTCTCTTCCCAGCTCCGTGCTCAGGGACATCATGGTGGTAGCCTGAAACTGGCCATGGTGAGAGTAGTTACACTGCAGAAATTGGCAAAGGCTACAAATGAGAGCCTTTTTGTTCCTGGGAGAGCAGATTGTTAGAGCTTAGCCAATCCATCTCCGGTCTTGAAGTTGCTCTTCATCAGAACTGTCCAACACAGAGCGATAATGCCTACCTGTTTTAAATTTCGTCAGGGAGAGAGAATCATAGTCTCCATTAGAGAGGTATGTTAAGTATCTCAGAGTCAGGATATTTAATCTCAAATTTAACTGCATTTGCTTCTTTACTGTAATTTAAGTGCATTTCCTTTTCTTCTATCCTCTGCAGGGGTGGAAATGTGTTGTCTTCAAAATAATCTTTCAGTAACTAGAAAATGAACATCCTGTTGGTTTTTAAAAATTTTATTTATGCACACAAAATACAAAAAATATTCCCTCCCTATCTGTTTCTAATTTTCCCTAGGTTTGTCTTGTAAAGGTAGTGAATTGCTTTCTCTTTTTATTTGAACAAGAAATAGTTGGAATTAAGATAAGAGTGGCTTTTGATTTTGTTTTAGTGGAGATTGAGCCAAAATGCTGAAAGGAAAATATTCTCGCCCAAAACCCTGATTACTGACCGTGATGTCTTTATCTGTGTAGCTGACACCTTTGTATGAGCTGGTAAAGGAAGTACCCTGTGCCTCTGTGAAAAGGCTATACCTGAAACGGGCCATTGAGGAATATCTCGATGAATTTGACCCCTGTCATTGCTGGCCTTGTCAAAATGGTGGCATGGCCACTGTGAAGGGGACCCAGTGTGAGTGCCATTGCAAACCATACACGTTTGGTGTGGCGTGTGAACAAGGAGCCCTCGTAGGGGATCAAGCAGGTCAGTGTGCTGCATTCTCTCAAGTTATGCTGGACACAATGAAAAGGGAATTACCCTTTCCCTCTGGCCTCTGAGATTGTCCTTCCTCGGGTATGGAGAAGGGGAAGTCTTATAGGGCTTTGAATTTGTCTCTCCCTCCCTATTCCACCTCTGGGTTGTAGCTACTGAGGTCGGGCCCTTTGCTATCTCTCTATTTTCCCATCTGAACTAACAGAACTGCCTTCTACTCTCCACTCTCCATTAGAACAGATTTATGCCTGAAACACCTTCCATCCTTCCATAGTCATCTCAGTAAGGTTTTGTCATAACTTAGGTCTACAGAGCTTGTGTCTGCACTGACTAACCTTTCTGGTGGCAAGCTCTTGGAAACACCTCTATTTCTATTTTGTGTCATGTCTCACCAATCAATCATTCACAAATATTTGTTGAGCATTGGCTGTGTGCTCAACAGTGCATTTGGTGTTTTAAGTATTTAGTATGTGAAGTTCACTTTATGAGTAGGCAAAGTATGAGATGATTTGTGTATATTTATTTTTATATTCATTTGTGTGTCTCTCTCCTCTAGAAAGCTTACTTCTTAAATTCGGAATTGTTTGATTCCTTTGTTTATTCCCACAGCCTGACATAGTGCTTGATTCATAAAGTCACTTAATAAATGTTTGATAAATGAATAAGTACATGACTAAACCACGGCTGCTTACAGACAAGCATCAAGAAAGCATCCTTGCCTCCAAATGTCTCCCCAAGTGGCCTGTCCTGGTAAACTAAAATGCCACCACTGCGATTCATTCCTTTGAGGCTTAGATTTACAGCTATTTGATAAAATGGAAGCTCCCCCTTCTGGTGGGGAGTGGAGTAGCAGTCATAATACCTCAAGTTCTTATTACCTGCTATTAACGTACTCAGGGGACTATATTATTAACTCGATTTCTAATTGTGGAAGAAAGGGTAAGGAAGATCATGGGAAAAATTATACAAATTATTTTAGTTTTTTTGTGTGTGATACTGAGGAGTGGCTGTGGAGGGAGTGGAGGGAAGAGGGATGTAGGTCACACAGTAGAAATAGCTAAGGAGCAGTAAACACACCCATCTATTATCAGAAGTAATGCTTTGGGGGAATAGTTCCTGAGATCAGTTTCTAACTAGGAAAGCAAAGCTCTTAGAATATGCTTCAAATTCTCTCTAATGTCCTCCAAGGAATATGATGGGAAAAATACTAAAACCTGTGAGCTGTGAACCGGCCCTGAGGTAGAAGGTGGCCAGAGCCAGTTGAGGAGGTGCCTGTAGATTGAAAAAGGGTGCTGACAGGAGGTAGAAGCATTTTTCCTACTTACATATTTCCTCATCTTGTACAGCACCAGCCCTGGGGTTGGCAGCCTGGAGTACCCAGTAGACCAGGGGTCCCCAACCCCTGGGCCATGGACCAGTACCGGTCCATGGCCTGTTAGGAACTGGGCTGCACAGCAGGAGGTGAGTGGCGGGTGAGGGAGCGAAGCTTCATCTGTATTTACAGCCGCTCCCCATAGCTCTCATTACCACCTGAGCTCTGCCTCTGGTCAGATCAGCAGCGGCATTAGATTCTCATAGGAGCGCAAACCCTCACAGCATGAACCGTGCATGTGAGGGATCTAGGTTGTGCGCTCCTTATGAGAATCTAACGCCTGATGATCTGAGGGGGAGCTGAGGCAGTGATGCTAGTACTGGGGAGTGGCTGCAAATACAAATCATCATTAGCAGAGAGGTTCGACTGCACAGAGACCATAATAAATCAATTGCTTGTAGACTCAGATCAAAACCCTATCAGTAGGGGCTTCCCTGGTGGTGCAGTGGTTGGGAGTCCGCCTGCCGATGCAGGGGACCGGGTTCGTGCCCCGGTCCGGGAAGATCCCACATGCCGCGGAGCGGCTGGGCCCCCGTGAGCCATGGCCGCTGAGCCTGCGCGTCCGGAGCCTGTGCTCTGCAACAGGAGAGGCCACAACAGTGAGAGGCCCGTGTACCATAAAAAAATAAAATAAAATAAAAATAATTAAAAAACCCTATCAGTGAGTGTCAAGTGAAAACAAGCTCAGGGCTCCCACTGACTCTGCATCATGGTGAGTTGTATAATTATTTCATTATATATTACAATGTAATAATAATAGAAATAAAGTGCACAATAAATGTGATGCTCTTGAATCATCCCAAAACCGTCCCCTCCTCCCCAGTCCGTGGAAACATTGTCTTCCATGAAACCGGTCCCTGGTGCCAAAAAGGTTGGGGACCACTGCAATAGACTATGCTCTTCTCATGCCCAATCACTGCTTTAACATTAGGAACTTATTTGCCTTACTAAGAGACTGTGAGGTGATAAAAAGAGCCTGGACTCAGCCATAAGACCAGGTTACAGTCTGGATATGGCTCTTGCCCACCAGTACAGCATTGTGCATATCATTTAACCACTTTGTCTTGGATTCCACACCTATCAAATGAGAATGTTAACAGACCTCTTGGTCACCTCCATTCGTTCTTGAGAGAAGTAAATGAACGATAAAATGCATGTGAAAGTGCTTTGAAACCGTTGTAAAATAATAAACAAATTTAAGGTAGTATTGCAAGAAGTTCGTTAATGCAGCCTTAATACGGGCAATCCTAGTCAGTGTGCAGAGACAGTCTGGCCACTGTGGAGACCTCAGTGAACAGAGTGAAGGTAATAAACCCCAGATCGTCCTCTCCCCCTATAACCACATAGCAGGAAGCTTAGCTCACTGAACTCTGAAATCTTCCTCTCCAAGTACTTTCTGAACAACGTCTCTCTTATTTACAGGAGGGGTTGATGGAGGGTGGAGCTGCTGGTCCTCTTGGGGCCCCTGTGTTCAAGGGAAGAAAACAAGGAGCAGAGAATGCAATAACCCACCTCCCAGTGAGGGTGGGAAATCCTGCATTGGAGAAACGTCAGAAACCAGACAATGCGAAGACCAGGAGTTGGAGCATTTGCGGTAATAGAGACCAGACCTCCTGGCAATTATGTAAAACTCAGTGCCCTCTGCAGTAAGCACGGAATACACGATTGCTGCTATTGAAAGATTTAAACCTTAAATGGTGATTTTTATCAGGGAGTGCTTTGCTCTTAGCATTGGGGTCAGTTGAAGGAGAGAGGCATATTGTGGCCAGTTTGCACTTGTGTGCTTCAAGTTTTCCTGACGCAGGTGTTACAAAAGGCTGTGGAACTGGAAGGCAGTCTGCTTCAGTAGATGCGAGCAGCAGCTTTGGCATCAGGCAGACCTGCCACCTACTTGCTCTGTGAACTTGGGCAAGTTAGGATAAAAATAGTAGGTACAATGATAATAGGATATTATTGCCTGAGGTTAAGAATATAAAGTGATTTGTACTGTGCCTGGCATATACTAGGCATTCACTAATAGTTGCATTATTTTTCATATACCACTCTCCCTCTTTTTTTTTTTTTTTTTTTTTTTTTTTCGGTACGTGGCTT